AATTTAGAAATACTGGAAAAAGTACAAACTAGGGGAGGTGAAAAGGAAATTTGTAAGAAGATATGATGCTTATCAGATTTATCAATAAAAGCCTTTTTGTAAATGTTCAATTTATTCAATCAACTTTTTACCTTTTATCATTTTTCATTCTTAGGTTAGTTAACTTTCAGTTTACTTGTTAATTTTTAGGAGCAAAAAATGCAAATATTTTTGAATGAATTAAATTTATGTGAACAAAGAGGTGATAAAATGAAAGCAATTATCATTGAAAATCAATCTTTAACAATCATTCAAAATAGTTCATTTCATTCACTATCAAATTTAACAGAATCAGTTACAGAATTTACTATCGTCCTTAAAGATATTATCATTTCGGTGTGTTTTTTTTTTTTTTCGATGCGATAATATTTGATAATTTGAAATGATTACTTCAATACATTGATAGTGAATTGAATGTGATAAATGATAAATAGCTGAAAGTATTTGTTGAAAATGAAAGTCTTTTGGAAGTTTAAAGAAAAATTAAAAAGACAGCTTTATGCGTTATCTTATTGAAATGAAATAATTTTAAATTATTTACTCTCTTAATAATATAATATGTTAACCTTTAACCTCTCTTTTTTTCTTTTTATTACTATATTTGAGATTACTTAGTATAGAATAATCAATGCAATGGAATAGTATTGGATGCAAAGTTAAATTATATCAATGTCAATATTTTACTTCTTTGTTATGAAAATAACCAAACAATTGGATGGAATAATTTGGGTAAAAGTAATCAAACCGATATCAATGATCATCGAACTATCAATTTTTTAAATTATCTTCACGAATTTCTCTATTTCCTACATCCATCGTATCTATCGCATTGGAATAGAAATGATGATAAAATTGATTTTATCAAATATTATTTTATTCCAAATGAAGTTAAACAAAAGAAGAATGCAGAAAAGGAAAGATAAAAGTTCGATTCATAGATTAAAATTTTTCTTTTCTGAGGCTAATTTTAATTTGGGCTTTTCATTCATCATAAACATACAATTACAACAGATGAGATTACATTGAATTAAGTAGCAAATTATTTGTTCTTAAAACTTCAAGCCTAAACTTCAAGCCCTGTAAGCCTAAATATATCTTTTCTTGAATTATGATAAGATAAGGCTAATAGGTTAAATCTGTAAAAAAATGATTTGATAATTTTAGAATTTTGGCAAAAGATAATGATATTATTGATTTTGACAGTTGCTTTCAACTGTTTTATAATTACTGTAGTAAAAGGCATTCAATGGCTTTATGGAAAGAAGAAATCAGTAAGTTAACAAATTCCTTTCGTTGCTTAGTTGAAACTTTGTCCGGAATTAAATATTAATCCTACAAAGCCAGTAGTTAGTTAATTGTAATAAATTAATTTACGGATTTAAATTTATATCCGGTTTGATTACAGGTTAATTACAACAAATTTATATCCGATTTGATTTACAGATTCATTAGAAGCATTTTCCAGATTTGCAATATTCATAATGAACGAATGCTTCTGATATCACCGAATAATGGAAAATGAAATTTGTCAACTGTGGAAATGACAAATGAACCCTATTACATTAACAGGCTATATCACGTAAAATCGAAACAAGTATATTTATTTTGATACCTTAGTTTTGAATGAAATTATGAATTAGACTGATCAATAATAAATAAATGACTAACTTTAGAACACTCATTAAGTTTTACTTAGAAATTAAATTAGGTACATTTAAAAGGTTACAAAATGAAAAGTAATGGTAGGAAAAGCTTAAATGAACGACAGATACCATTCTCTTTAACAATTCTCTATGCTAATTATAGTCAACTGATGAATACCTAAGCCATTAATTGAACCATAAATTCATAATTGAACAATAGTAGAACAAGGTGAGGAAAGGTCACAAAATATATCGATTTTATGCAAATTATCGCTTTACCACAACTTTTTCAAATAATAATTGAAACATTGTTTAATTTCATACCATTATCGCTTCCATTTTGTTCTATCTATCATAAAATATGCAAATTACATGTAACCAAAAAGTTTCCTAATATTACTTCATAACAGTCTACAAATAATTTTAAAGCTCAATTACAAACAATTTTGGCATAAGTGGTAACATACCTTGACCTTACTTTAATTAAGTTAAAGTTTCATTCGAATTTTAATTTAAAACAAGGAAAAATCCTTCTTAAAAGTTCGAAATATGAATAGTTCTCAATGGAATCCTTAAAATATATACTTTTTTGAGTTTAATTAATAAGAAAAAAATAAATGTTGTATATCACAGTAGGAGTGCTTTTGACTGTAATTAAATATACGCTGCCTGACCTTTGACTCCATTGAAGCAAGTAAATGGTATTGTAGCTTATTGTGCTGTTGATGGCTTATTGTGTGACTGATAATGGGACAATGTAGCTTTAATGGGAAACTATAAAATATATTTGGTCTAAAAATTTTTATTCTGTAAAATTTACAGTTATTAATTGTAAAATAATAAAATTTATTAATTTAAATCCGATAAAATTGATGATATCTAAAGAAGAAATATGAAACAAAAAAAGAATTTGGAATCATCCAATTTTCCATTCGTAATACATCCGTTCAGTTTATCCGGTTCATTAGAAACCGTAAACCGGATAAATTGAACGTTAAACTTTTAATTTATCACTTTAACTTTATCAATTAATACCTTCGAGGTACGAAGATTGGAAATGAAATTATTTTGAGCAATTGTTAAACAATTATACATACTTCAATGATAGGATTTATTTTGCCTTTAGATTGATTTTATTTCAAAAAAAAAATTAGATGGAAAAAAGAGGATGAAAATGAATTTGATGATGATAATTGCTGGATGGATATTTTGTGAAAAGGAATAGAGATGAATGGGCTAAATGCTTTTGAAATATGACGAAGAAGTGGAATTTTTGATGAATGGAACAAAGAAAAGGGATAAGATGAAAGATGGACCAGAGATAAATGGATCAAGTATGGGAAGATGACCGATAAGTTGGATGTAAATAGTAGGAGTGGACAATGGGACACAAATGGACAACAATATGAAGAGAGAAATAATATGAAGAAAAGAACATGTGAATGAGATGAAAAATATCCAATACTTCATAATTTATTTGGTCATTTCCAAAATAAAATTTGTTGCAAACATTCGTTTTTTTTTTCCTTCCAATTTATCCCTTTCTATTTTGATTTTTGTTTGAATTTATGATGAAATAGCATAATGGTAATGTTTTTGTATTGAATGTAATACTAAAAGATAGCAATATCGATTGATTAGGAAATAATTCTGGTTTCTTTATTAATTTTTACTAATTTGTATTTGTATATTATCATAATTTTGATAATAATAACGCTTGTATGGAATTATGAGGGATTCGAAATTATGAGGATTTTCTTTTGTGTGAAAAAAAATTGTTAAAATTCTTCCTTTAAAAGCATTCATTTTTTCATTTAAATTTATTACTTACTATTTTGATTTTAATTTATGATGAAATAACGTAAAAAATTTAATTGAAAAAACTTGTATAAATTTTTTATTTAAATTTACATATATTAGCAGTGTTTACTGTTTATCATTTTATGAACTGTTTATTTTTGCATAATAGTTTTTCTTTGAATTAGAATTCAGCAAATTTCTTTGAAGAGAAATGCAAAAGGTAAAATTAATAGTAAAAATAGAGTTATGAAGAAATTTTATTTCCTACAATAACCTATTATTCATGAATGATAATTTATTTTACATCATGATGGTTAATTAATAAAATTAATTTATTAAAAAGCTGGAGAGGATAATTCATTTGTCACTAAATAAAATTACTATTATTTAAATTAATGGATTAATAATTATGCAATTACATCGACAATGTGGATTTTCTTCGTCTCCTTATTCATAAGATAATAATTGTGATTATTTGCTAAGATTACTTGAACTTTTGACAGTAATATTAATTTATACTTTGATATGATTCAAACGGTACGGTATGTTTTGGGTGATCGAATTAATGTCACCCAATTAAATTACATTGAATTTTATCGTATTTATCACAAGTTTAATATCAAAAATATTGAATTTTTCATTTTCAGATTTTTCCAAGCGGTTCATTCAAAGTTTATATATGCAAAAGAATTATTGTTGGCCATTTCTCATTAGCATCTTCCTGCAATGTAATCTACAAACAGTATTGCTAATAGAAAATAAAACAGGTTCACTTATTAATTTATTAAATAATTAAGACGCTATTGTGAAATTATGCTAATTTCACCATAATTTATACTTACACTTCGTTTTATTTTTGATTGATTACTTCAGTAGAGTTAAGGTAGCATACTGTAATCTCTTTGTTTATATCTGATATTCATTCATCATCATTCGATCACTCATCGGAAATAATCATAACAGTAGTTTCCTGTTTCCAATTATTTTACCTTATTAATTAAGCTTTCGATAATTCAAATTATCCGATTCTTGCAAGTAAGCAAACAACAACGGTCTGTTGAAATTTTTTTCTTACATAACTTTTGTCACTTCCATATATTCAAGTTACTTTAAACTTCAAATAATTTTAAACTTTCAATATCACTTTAAATGTCATATAACATATGTTAGCACTTTTAAAAATTTGAATTTGAAAGACGAATTGAATAATTCAATTTCTGTTTTTGTTTTCCAATTAATAAGTTTATTCAGTACTTTGGTTATTATAATTCTGAAATTTTTTAGTAAGATGTATCACGGATAGTAAATGTAGCAAGGTACGATGCGAGAAACTTTGCAGGTACAGTTTTATTTCTACCTGCTAATAGATGAATATTACAATCGAAAAGAGTGATCATTACGTGAGCGATAATTGGGAAATATATGTAGGAAGTTTTAATTAATTAATTAATCATATAGTTCGTATGCTAACATTTCAAAAATGTCAAAAAAAGTACAAATAGCATTGTCATCATTAGCCTTGAAACTTTTATTCTAACCTGTTCCACATTCATTAATTCTATCCATAATGAACATTTTGAATTTAAAATTCATTACATATTTATCAGCTCAATTATGGATCATTTACTAATCTTATCATTACTCCTCCGTTTTGTTAAATGATAATTAGCTGAGAGAAGTGATAACTTTATATCGATAATATTCATTTCTTTTTGATATCAACTAATGACTGATTGTGGCATTTTTCAAATTTAAAATTGAAAAGAAAAAGCCATTTGTGAGCAATTTTTTAATCTTCTAATTACTACTTCCTAATTAATTTATTAACTTCTTCAAAATGTTCAACTTTGTAGTTGAATTTATTCAAATGGCAATTATACTAATTGCAGTTTCATTTGTCTCAAAACATTCCACATATTCATTTAATTAACTTTCAGACAGCTTAATGAAGGGTATATTTCGGAATAACCGAAACTATTCTCTCTCTCTCTTCCTTTTTTTTGACTATTTTTAATTAAGTTGTTGGCATGGTTGAATCAATTTTCGAAAAAGTTTCCAAAAAACAAGACAGGTTTAAAATGTTAATTATCAAATCATTTCATTTAAATCAAAAAAAAGATGGTTAAGGTTTTGAAATCAACATAGCTGCTTATCAAATCTGAAACATTCGACTGATCTGAAGTTTGTAATCAATCAAATGTTTGAAATAAAGTTGTATACTCGGAAAGTTTGAGTAATTGAAAAAAGAATTGGCCAATTAAGTATTTAATTAAGCAAGTAGGCAATATGTCTTATTTTGTTAATTAAAGCAATTATGATTAATTAATTTTTAGGTACGAAGCTAGGATATTTCAAAAGCAAACTGATTGGGTAAATTGGGAAGACAGAAATTCCAGACTTTTTAAAAGTCTATCACAATTTAACGGTTTGGTAACCTTTTTTTTTTCATTTTTTGAGAAATATTCATTTAAAATATATTTGCTATATATAGACAAAATAGTAATAATAATAGCAATAAAAGTGATGGAATTTGTGAGGTTGAAATATTCCCGGGAAATATCTCATTTCTAGTTCTATCAACGATTAAAATGAATGAAATAGGTTTATTTTATACCCGTAACAATAGCAACAAACAAAGGGACACCAAAATGAATGAAAATATGATTTTGAATTTATTGGAGATGCAAACAAGAGTAAAGTTA